CAGAAGAACATGTCCTCCTGGTCCGTGAGAAACCAGCACAGTTCAGGCCACATTAACCACACCTTACTGATGTCGATTTGATGACAGTGCAGAGGCAATTCAAACAGCATGTAAGTCGATGTGTTGGCGTGTCTTTCCAAGATAAGTGACCTCCAATTGACCTCGTTCGAAGAGGACGATCAAAACTAGCGGTATTCGCGCTGCAGTTTTGGGAACCCTAAACCGACCTACTGAAAAGATGCCGGATAATTCCTAAACGAGGAATATGTATATGGGGCACTCAATAGCTTCTAGTTTTCGACATTTGAATCGTTCATACACGCCGATTCATATCGACCGCGGGTTCATGTCATTGGCCCAGCCCCACTTTGAGTGTGCTACCCCCTTTTTAATTGGCCACCTGTGGCAGGTGAACGAATAGTGAAATACGCGATTTCCAGCCAGTGAGCGTCGAATTTGCCAAGGGGGACGCGGAACGGGTGTAGCGACTTCCAACTCCTCCAACAAAGAAAGACTGCAAATTCCCAAAACAAAATGTGCTCTTGAGGCAGGACAGGAGGCGTACATTCTCAGAAATAAACACGGGTGACTGCGATTTGCATTATAACATGTATACACTACTGGGTTCGGCATCAGTAGGGCCGGTAGGAAATGATTGGAGTTTGACACACAACAAGGGAAGTCTATTTGTATGACCAGTGGTTTTTGTGAAAAATATCGCACACCAGCAATAAGGCGAGACAAGGGATCGACTTACCGCACCACAGACTAACACGGTTGATCGCCAGCGCGAAGACAGCGAGGAGGAGAAGCGCAGCGAGGCGATAACAGAAGAGGACGCGCAGGCAATCAACGGAGCTCCTGAAACCGCCAAAACTGATACGCTCAAATCCACTTGGTGCAAGACGCGTGAAGTCTATGGTGCGTGGGCAGGTGTCGTCTTGGCGTGTTATCTATCAAGCTAATGAGGTCACGTTTGGAGGGCACGAGAGGGATTTTAGCTGCCGGAGGAGTGGAGGGCAGAGGAACTTGGCTAACTCACACCACTGTTTCCTCCTGAACTACGCCAGATTCAACCCTAGTTCGGACATGCGCGCTTGGCAAAAAACGCATGAAAGCTGAGAGGCGTCGGAAGGCGTCCGTCATCCGAATACTCGGGCGTTTGCAGATCACGCCAATTCAGGCAGATGCGGTCGTGTTCTGAGATACCAATACCGTTGCCGGATTCGTCGATATCGCTAAATCAATCATCGAAACGAGACAATGTGCCTCTTGACCAATGGAAATGCGCAAGTGGTAGATAGCCGTTTTGTGGGTGGGCCGCGAACATCTGATGTCAAGGCTGCGCATTTATCACCTCGGATTCTGGTGAAATGAGAGGCAGAGAAATAGTAGCTACTTAAATTACATCAGTTTGAATGGATTAATGTGTGAAACTGGTGGCGCTTAAGGATAAACATTGACGCGATTTACCAATCAGGTCTTTGGGACTAAAAAAGCCTCTGCTATCACCTATCGTCGTTTGTGGCTTCGCAGACGTTAATTAACTCGAAAAGCTGGTTAGAGACCTCACATCTATTTCTCCTCACTCCTTACGCGAAACGGATCCACCTCAGACGATTTTCCAGTGTGCTTGAACTGTGGTTCAACTGCCAGCACAGGCGATATTTGAGGCGGTCCACCTTCTAGATCCTCCTTGGATAAAAGTCGCGTACTTCATGGCCACTTGTCCGATGGCAGTTGACTCAAACGCACACCGGTTTAATTTGGCAGATGTTGCCACGCCAA